ACATAGCGACAGTTCTATGTACTATGATGTGACTATCCTGCTCTTTTTTATTCGTGTAAATTGGTAATTAAGAAGCTTGATGAGATTCGGGTTTAATTTTTTTGGCAATACCATTTCTTAGGTAGCGGGATGTTCTTCCTTTAGGAAGCCTAATGCCTGACTTTGTGTATATGTATGGAACTAGAAATCTGTGGAATCATGTTTGACAAAACCTAGCTATGGAATATTCCATAGCTTATTTTTTAAAGTACTTTGCTGATGATTGAAACCCAAACTCCTGAGGAAGTCTAAACATTCAATTCTGATAAGATAAAGCAGCCACTGAGCTATTACTTTACGACTGTATGGGAAACTCCTCACTGTAGTGTGGCGTGTAACCTGGACAAGCCCCCACTTCTGGTGGGAAGAGGGATCCAGAACAGCTGCTCTCTGGTGGTGTGAGCCCTGTCCCTGATGTTAACTGCAAGCAGCAGTCATGTTTGGTCCATTAGTCCTCATCCACAGAAAGATATTCTCAGCTACCATAAGGGGATGTGACTTCTGACCTCTGCAAGTTTACCTCCTTACAACAGAACAAAACAAGAAAAAGGACAATTATTCTTAACTTCCAAGAGACTGTGTTACCGTAAGGGTAAAGTCTCTTACTAAATCAATGAATCTGTCTCTCCCTTGGCTTAAATAGTGAAAGGTTTGGCTGTCTCCTAGATAAGTGGCTAATCATGTGTGACAAAGATAGGAATATATTCCTTTAATGTGATATAACCGCTTTTCACACAATGCAAAGCCAGAGAGTGTTCGTCGAGTCTTTGCTTTAGAGCAACTGCACACATAGACCTGTGAAGGCGGATAGGACTTCTGATTGGTTTGTGAGCTGCTCGAGCCTACCCTGCACTGAGAACTGTATCACTTTCTTCTGCTGAGACAGACTAGTCCTGTTTGTCTTTTAAAGACAGTAGCCTGTATAACCTGAGTTTTGTAGCCTCCTGAAGTTACCCCTTCATTTCTAGTCCAAATAAATGACTGGGATCCTGTTTCACGACTTGCAGGAAGCCCAGGTGCCCCTGCAGGGACTTCTGAGGTTCTGCACAGTCCTGAGGTGTCAGGTTCATCCCTGTACTCATGACTATTTCCATGAGGTCCAGCTCTGTCTGTCACGCCCCAGACACAGACATAGGCAGAAGTGTGGTCTCCCCCAAGGTTAACATTCTGACCAGGAGCAGCTTTTTGGCTCTCAGTGGGGCTAATCCAGCTGCCTCCTGAGAGCAGATTACGACCACATTTATAGAGCTATATTAGCAGCCACTGTTGGGGCTATTTAATCAATCGTCAGAAAGTTGATAGAGTCAGGTATTGATTTTAAAGAGAGAAGGATGGGCAACTGTGTTATTGTGCAAATGGTCTGTTGCACATTTATTTAGCCTTATCTATGGATGCCCAGACAGATGTGATGGGCATGGCGGTGGAACCTGGTCCTCCCTCTGCTCACCATCATTGGTGCTAACTGTAGTTGAGTTCCTCGAGGTAAGTTGTTTTTGTTCTATGGGGAGCAGAGATTGCCATCCATTCGGTCTGTGGGGCATTTAGGCTCCATGTGATTGGGAGTAATCCCACCACAGAACTTTTAAATGTTTGGTGCAGTTGGTCAGACAGGACCTTTGTTAACCAGCCGACTCCCTTCATTCTATTCTGTGGGACAAAGATCACAGGATCAGGCCCAGGGAGTCCTGGATTCCCATTCTTGCATTGCCTGTAAACAGTCATGACGCCAATCTGGGTTTTATTTTCTTCATCTGTAAAATGGGAGTGCACTAGTTTGCTAGGGCTGCTATAACAAAATTCCCCAGACTGGGTGGCTCAAACAATAGAATTTCCTCACAGTTCTGGAGGCTGAAGTCTGAGATAAAGGTATTGGCAAGATCTTTCTGTCTCTCTCCTTGGCTTGTGTATGACCATCTTCCCTCTAGGTCTTCACATGGTCTTCTTTCTGTGTATGTCTGTGTCCTAATCTCTTATAGGGATACCAGTCATATTGGATTAATGCTCTGCATATGACTTCATTTTCCCTTAATTACCTCTGTAAAGACATCTCCAGATATATTTGGAGGTACTGGAGGTTAGGACTTCAACATAAATTTGGGGAGGATACAATTTAGTATATAACAGGGACTAAGGGGGCGGGGGTGGAGTGGGGATGCTTGAACAATGGTTTTTTTTTTTTTTTTTTTAAATAATGCTCTGAGGGGGCTTCAGAGACTATCTCAGTTTTCTGAGTTCTGAAAGGCTTCCCAGGACATAGGATTTTCAGTGCTAAAGCAGTCCTAGGTGAACCAGGATGGTTAGTCACCCTACATGTCTCCCATGGGGGCACAGGGATCCCCAGCCTGCCTCAGCCAGACCTGTGCTGCTTCTTTCAACTTCAAGGCTTCAACTTCAACTTCAACTTCAACAACTTCAACAACAACTTCAACTGTGAGATTGAATTTAACAAAAGGGTTTTGTGGCCCCAAATCATTAGAAAACCACTTGATTCAGTGGCCTCTAAGGTCCTCTCCTGATGCCACATTCTGTGATTTCATTTCATTTGCACACACCAAATTCCAGCCATTTGTGTGAAACTATTAACTGATTGGAGTAAAACTAATTTGGTTCTCATTTAATTCATGGCTAAAAGTGAGATAAAACAAAACAGGAAACCATTAAGCCTTGCCTATTCTGAAGCAGAACTTGGTACTATTCTTTTATGATGGCAGCTGCCCTCTCTGGGCTCTCATTATGCTCACTTATTTGCTCTGCATCTCCAAATCCTAATAGCAACTCTGTGAAGCGGGTTGCATCACCAACAGCAGCAGTTCCATGATGCAGATGAAGAAACCAAGGTACAGAGAGATGAGTAGCCAGTTCACGTCTCAGGGTTGTTCAGGGAAGGGCCAGGATCATGCAGACAATTTGACTTGAGCACTACTGTCAGGACACTGAACCCGGATGTGAGTGTGCCGGCTGGTTGGGGAACAGAGACCACACTGGCAAGTGTAAAGTGAGTCCAGCTAGCTGATGGGCCAGATTCTTCTCTCCAGGAAGCACATTTCACAACCCAGTACCCCCTGAGCCTGTCTGGCCTTGACCAGTACTCCAGGCTGGTCCAACTTTTTGCTGTTGTAGAAGCTAGGCCTGGAACAGTTCTCAAGGTGTTGAGAGGTTTTGGGGATCTCACGATAAAGAACACTGAAACACAGAGACAAATTTATTTCCCTGCTCATTTTTTTTTTCCTGGTCTTCTGATGATGTTAAGGAATACTTTGTGCTTGTCTGTAATTCCCTTCCATTATTTGATGATCTGTCTCCCCCCGCCTTTTTGTTTTGAAAGTGCAAGCACGGGCAGCAGCATCTGGCTGAACTTTTGAATAACTCTTTATTGTCTCGAGTGTAATCATCCAGTAAAAAATATTAAACATATTTAATAACTGATAGCATAGGTACTGTACAGATGGCAAAAATAGTGAAACATGTGGTAAGAAAGATTTTTTGTAAAACACTGGCCAGGAGAAAAGGCTGGAATTTATTGGAATCTTGAAATGAGCAGATGAAAGGCAGGAGTTGTTTGGGGTCCAGCCAGTCTTTTGGGGTCAGTTCCTCAGCCCAGGGTCAACCTTGCCTGGGCTCTTGAGTTGGTGCCGATTGTAGGCTCCTTCGGAAACTTGGTGTGCCTGCCAGGTGATCTGAAAAGACAGGTTCTTTCCGGCATCAACCCCATATTCACTGGGATTTTATTTTGTTTTGGTGATGGTTTTCATAATCTTTGAAATGCCCCTATCATAAACGGTAGGGATGAAAACTGGATTCTTGTGCCAGGTCAGAAGGCTGCACCTTGGGGGGATGTAGTATAGAAAATAATCAGAATTAGAAGTGCAAATTGAGATGTCCAGGATGAGGCAGAAGTGCTCACGGTGGATGGCTACCAGGCCACTGTGTGGGGATTGGATGCCATGACTCTTGTTGTTGGAGCCAGATTGACCCCTCCCCTGCAATTAGAAACAGACCAGGTTTGAGACCCTTCTTCAGGGAGCAACTGAAGTTAAGGGGGCTTTTTTCATGGGATTAGTCCTGGATGACTTAATTTGCCTGTCAAGCTTCCCGCTGGCACTTAAAGTACTTGAACTCCACAGGGCTGTGTCCTTATGAAATAGACAAAGCAAGTTTGCGGCTCCTGGTGAAGTACTCAGTGTGGTTCCCACACTAGGCTATTGCTATAGATAGAGTCTGAGCTTAACTAATCCTCACAGGACCCAGGACCTGGTCAGCAGTGGGTGCTGTACATTGATTAATGCCTGGTGGAGGCACCAGATTCTCCTTCCTAGCAGCCTAGACTTTGCACATGGAGGTTGGAGACTGGAATCCAGCGACCATCAGGGAGGCCTACTCATGGTTACCAGAACCTGAGCACGAAGATCTTAGACCTTTAGCTTTCAGACTCTTCCCCCAGTAGCAACCGTTTTGGTTCTTTGGCTCCTTCCTGTAGGGGTTATATAATCTTATCATTTATAATCATTGTTTTAAAAGATACATCAGAGTCATGTATGTGACTCCTCCACTCCTCCACCTTCTACCCCCATTACTTACGAAGGCTTCAAATATTTTTTTTGTAATCTACTTAGAAGGAGAAAATAAAAAGAAAAAAGTACCATAATGTTGCTAATTAAGAAATAAGAATATTCTTGTTCTGATGGGCGCCTGGGTGGCTTAGTGGGTTAAGCTTCTGACTTTGGCTCAGGTTATGATCTCAGGGTTCTGGATCCAGCCCTATATTGAGGGGGGGGGGGTCCTTGCTCAGCGGGAAGTCTGCTTTTCTTTCCCTCTGTCCATTCCTCTGCTCATGCTCCCTCAATCTCTGTCTCTCAAATAAATAAAATCCTTTTTTTTTTTTAAAGGATATTCTTGTTTTGAAAGCCCACTGCCCTCAATCCTGTGATCTGTTGCACATAACAAACTTTTTTCCCCATCAGGAAACATCTGTTTGGATTGTTTCATTATAACCCCACAATGCTTGGACTTGAATCACTTCCAGATCCCACTGATACCTGGGAAATTATAGAGACCATAGGTAAAGGCACCTATGGCAAGGTCTACAAGGTAACCAACAAGAGAGATGGGAGCCTGGCCGCAGTAAAAATTTTGGATCCAATCAGTGTAAGTAATGGTAGTAAATTACAACCACAATATAACCCATACACGTTAAGCTTTCAACTTCTTTCCTGGGTTTAGTTATGATTTTCATGAAACCTGGCATGAAATTCAAAATGAGTCATGATTTGTCAGCTTATTTTGAAGGGGACTTCATTTGGAGTTAAAAAATTCTTTGAATTTCTGTTTCTTGTCCATTTTACTGTCGTTTTGGTTTTGACCCTCTGAGTTCTTCAAAAGTTATTTTCTTGGAAAGGGTTATGTTTCTCACTCCCTTATATAGAGTCTAGTCTCTTTCTAAGTTTCAGGATGGTCCCCATTTGTGGCATTCATTCATCTTCTTTCAGAGCACTGAACACCTTGTAATGCTGGAAGCTGTCTTGCACAGTGAGGTTATAAGGTGTCCTAAGCTGAGTTGGGTCCCTTCAAGCTACTTCTCCTAAACTGCTTTGAAAATTCAGATATTTTAAAATAAAAATAGATATTTTTAATAGTGTTATTAAAGAAGAAAGGATATAATAAGGACATTTTATTGATGTAATAATTAGAAGTTTTATTTGGATATGAATGCCTATTGTTAACTATTTTCAAGATGCAGTAATGATGATGTTAAAAATACAGAGTAAATATGCTTTCTTAAATTATATAATACCCGTACCCTTCCTCAGATGTTAGACTTAATCCAGCGTGCATTTTTTACCCTTATAGGATATGGATGAAGAGATTGAAGCAGAATACAACATTTTGCAGTTTCTTCCGAATCATCCCAATGTTGTAAAATTTTATGGGATGTTTTACAAAGCGGATCACTGTGTGGGAGGACAGCTCTGGCTCGTCCTGGAGGTAAGAGGCCCCGTTGGGTAACCATCCATTTAAACAGAGCACCAGGGACAAGCAGATGCATTGTTGCCTAAAGAGTATAAGATACTCATGTGAGGAGTTGGTCCCTCCTGTGTGTCACAAGTACCTTACAGATGTGACTATCTCCTCCGCAGTTCTTATAGGTAGGTTGTTAAAAATGTTCATGTTTCTCTGCTTCAAAAGTTTAATAATTTCTTCTCATCCAGAGTGAATACAGGAATGCAGTTGGAAAAGGCTATTTTTTTCCTTAAACTGGGAACGTTTCACGGAAAACATGTTGCAATTGATTGCAACTCATTTTCAAAAATTGCTAACCCAAGGTTTATTTGGCTTGGCAAGTCTGGATTAGCCCATTCACGTTCATTAATCTTTAGCTTAGATTGGGTTCCCTTCAAACAGACTCTGAGTGTCACGTGTGACAGGTTTATTGGAGAGTTCTTACAGGAGCTGGACCTGGGTTGAAGTGTGGAAGGCAGGACTGGGCAAGGGAGACACGGAATGGTAATGTAGTTGCAAGAGGCTGCTGCCCATTCTCTGGGAGATGGAGAACTGGGATGCTACGGCAGAGCGGTCCTAAATTGTATCTCTGCATCAGCCAGTCACAGCTGTGGTGCTCCCTTAGGAGGGGTGTTACCTAGGTGGAAGCAGTTCCCTGTAGCTGGGGGAAGTTCCTGGTGAGTGGTACTGCCAGGAGCTGGGAGCAGGGAGCAGGGAGCAGGCAGTCTTCCTGGCAGCATGTGCTCTGAAGGAATTTGAGAAGAGCACCACTGTATACACTGTAATCCTGTCTTTTTCTTTTTTATTAATAGTAATGAATGTGTATATCTGGGAGCAAAAGAGTCAGTCCCTACAACGCCATTCCCTGTGAGACTGAAAATGGAAAAGACATAATAATGGCAATATATGAAATTAGTATCTTAGGATAGGTCTGTTGCCTCGCGCTCACTAGGGCCACCTTGATTTGTTCTGGATTCCACTCCTCTGAACAGACATACCTCTGTGCCTGACTTCACATATGCAATCTAGGAGCACAAGCACATATGTGAAAGCTTAAGAGAGAAGCACTAAAACAAGAGGTCAGGTCTCAATACATCTTTAGCTTCTTGTCCCAATCTTTTGCCTGGCTCTGAGAGGTCCTGGGCATGGAACAATATATTACTGGCTGCCATGGCAACTGTGTACGGGGAATTCATTTGTTATATTCATTTGGGGTAACCTTCAGGGAAACCAGTTTGAACATTTCTATCAAATCAATTGCCTTCCTCAGAATATAAATATGTAGGGAGTTTTGGTTTTCAGAGATCATCTTTGTCTATTTGGTTGGCTGGTTGTTATAGAACATATTCTTATAGTATCTTCTTTTGGATTTTATTATTCCTTACCCCCATCCTGAGAATATATATTTTATCCTGCCGATGAGCTCTAGAATAACATTAATTTTTAAAATCCAGCTTTTCTTGGGACATGCAAAGTATTGTTTCTAGGGTCTCTGATTATATTCTTCTTTAGCTCTTAAGGATCTCCATGTTTCAAACCTTGTTGCAATTTCATAATGGAAGAACAGTGACCAAGAAATCTTAGTTTCAGTTCGTTTTTACTTGCTGACTGATTAAGGCTCTCTATTCAAACATGGAAGACTGGAATTTCCAGAATTTTCTGAGGCCTTAAAAGGGGCCTCCCCTTGGTGTGATCAGGCAAGCAGGTGGGCTGCTTGTACCTGTGGCCCCCTAAGAATAAATGCTCTTCCTGGGGCACCTGGGTGGCTCAGTGGGTTAAGCCTCTGCTTTTGGCTCAGGTCATGATCTCAGGGTCCTGGGATCAAGCCCCACATTGGGTTCTCTGCTCTGCAGGGAGCCTGCTTTCCCCTATCTCTCTGCCTGCAGCTCTGCCTACTTGTTATCTCTCTCTCTCTTTCTCTCTCTCTGTCAAATAAATAAAATCTTAAAAAAAAAAAAAAGAATAAATGTTCTTCCTGATGAGGAGTGACTGAACATCAGCCCCTCAGGCATTGGCAAGGCAGCCAGAAAGGGCTGGACATGGCCTTGAAAGAGGAGAAGGAGCCCAGAACTATGAACTAATAAACCTCATACAAGTACTCCCCTGCAGACTGTTCTTTGTTTTTTCAGGGTGACCAAAGGTAGATAATGAGGCTGCCTTGAGATACTGAATTATTCATATCTCAGCAATACAATATGCTGATATGTATGCCTTTTGCAAGTTGTTTTGGCCCATGCCAAAGTTGGTAGTGTGGAGAACCAGATGTCGTTAGTTTTTGGGTTTTTTTGTTTGTTTGTTTGTTTGTTTGTTTTTGGTCCTGGAATGAGCGATCTTTGCCGGGCTGCTGGGTGGTTAGGTGTGTCCAGTACCTATAATATGCTTATAAGAAAAGGGACTCTTAGGCTCCTAGAACTGGCTGGAACCTTGGCTTTTCTTCAGGTCAGTCCCCTGGTATTCAGTTGAAGAACAGAAGCTCAGGGAAGGAGTGACATGCCTCTGGTTACATAAGGAATTACCTGTGGCAGAACTGGTTGGAGAGCCACACTTGAGAATTTTTCTCCCATTACGTTTTGCTACAGCCTGTGGCACTGCCTGTTGGGTCCTGGGAACACAGACTCGGCCTCTCTGGCTGTGATCAAAGCAGCTCCTGGACTCATACACACACACACACATCCCCACAGGCAGCAGAAAGACCCTAAGGGTCTACATAGCACCCTGACCATTTTGCTTTATCTGTAATTTTTTAGGCAGCTTTACACAACAAATTTGGTCTGTTTAATATTGTTCATCTCATTATGTATACTGAGATTAAATTTATGTTACTTTTGCTCTTCCCTTGCTGAATGAAATGAAAGGACCAGGGACAAGCTATTCTATAGAGCAATTCTAGAGGATAGGAAAATGTTTTTGATAACCCCCTTAAATCACCACAACTCTGAAAACAAAAGCAAATAAAAGTATAATTTCTGAAATTCATTACTAATTGTTAACAGAAAGTCAACGCACAGCTACTGTATCAGAAAGGTGTGGAGAAAAGACACACATAATAATGTTTTGGAAAATTTGTGAATAAGTTTTAATCTAAATATTAAATTTTAAAAATCTGTAAGTCCTATTATCTCTCACCTAAATGAAATATAAGAATTTAGACCTTTAAGAAAAACATAATACTTAGAAAAAATACCTCATGTGGTGCTAAAGTATAAACTACATTTTCTCTTTTTGTCTTTTAGTGTAAAATGTTTGGTAGATAGAAACTATTAATTTTAGCATGAATCACATGTTCATCTTAAATGGTTTGAAGTTTAGAGAACATAAGTGAGTCTGTAAAGTGAAATATTTATAAAACCTGATAAAAATAATTAGCTTTTTTAAAAAATCTGTTTTTTTTCTATCAGAGATCTGTGTATAAGTTAACTAAGCTAGGCTGAAGTGAGGGGAGACATCTTTGCCCAGTTTTTGCTTTTCTTTAAGGCCCTAGGAAGTCTGGTGTGGGCTGATTATCACTGCAAATGTCATACTTTAAACCATTTTCACCTGCTGATACAGTGACATGAACCAAGTTTATCACGTTAACAAATCAGGGTTGTAGCAGGGCTCTGAGGGTTTGGAACATAGAACAAGTACGTTTCGGTTGGCCAGAGATGGTTAGCAAGCACTGCTTCAGATGGCGGCCTCTCGCAGGGTTCTAGAAGGAGAGTAACTGGGTTGCTGGGGGGAGGAGGAAGCTATAGGACCCTTGGGAGTGGAGAAGGGAGGAGCTTTGAAATGCAGTAGTGTTACAGCCTTTGTACATGTATTGTGTACAGTCCTCAGAAAAAGCAAGAGAGAGAAGCTAAGGAGTGGGATGGACTCTGCCCCCCCACCCAATAAGCAAGTGCCCTGGAGAAAGATGAGATGGGAGGTGGGAATCTCAGGGCCCACCTACCTCCCCACTCTGACTGGAGCTCTAGGGTTGCAAGTGACACAGTTTTTATTGTTCTAGTGCAAGCCATTGACTTCACCTGGTATCAGCAAAATAAATACAATCTGCCCCAACGGTGTGCAGGAAAAATCTGTTGTTCTGGCCTTATTGAGAGGAGGACAGCACCAGCACAGTGCTTCCTAATGTCACAGGGCTGCAGGGTTCTTGCCTTATGGTGTCAAAGAATGAATCTTGTGGATACAAAAGGGTGAGGTGAAGTGAAAGTTTATTTACTTATTTATTTTTAATTTGAGAGAGAGAAAGAGTAAATGACCATGAGAAAGAGCATGAGGGGGAAGCGCGCAGAGGGAGACGGAGAAGCAGGCTCCTGCTGAGCTGGGAGCCTGACTCCGGGCTCCATCCCAGGACCCCGAGATCATGACCTGAGCTGAAAGCAGATGCTTAATGGCCTGAGCCACCCAGGCGCCCCAAAGTGAAAGTTTATTAAGTGAAGGTGAGAGCAGAAATAGAAAAAAAAAAGCTCCCTAGAGTCAGAGCAGTCCCGAATGGGTTGCCACTGTGGGGTTTTAGTGGCAGTCTTATTGAGAACTAACTAGGAAGCTTGTGACCTTGAGATTCTTGTGCCCTGTTAGTTTGAGCAAGGACTATTGATAGCACCCTTGTCATTCTCTGTGATTACAATGTAGCTGCCAAAAAAAAAAAAAAAAAAAAAAAAAATTACTCGCTAACATTCAGGGCCAGGTGATCTGGTTTGTTCCCTTATCTCTGGTTTTGTACCCCTTGGCATTTCTCCGAATTTGGGATTTCTGTGAGCCTGGTCATGTAAGCCCCTTGCCTGAGCAGTGTCAGGGGAGTCTAGGCCTGCTGTCTCTCCCTGCCTATACCTTAGCCCTTTCCTTACTCACTAAGGCATCTTACTGAGTAATTTTGATGATTCTTGGCTTTTGCTTTATGCTCCCTATTGAGCCCAACACCGTTGAAGGATAAAATCGACTGAACAAAAAGACGCTGAAAAGAAATTCCTCTTAATTCTGCAATTTGACTGGGTCAAATTAACATG